AGGTCGATAAAGCTTTTAGATTTGAAGATGTTTTCGGAGAGCCCATTTCCTGCGGCTAAGAGTTGTTAATGGAGCTTAAGGAATTATCTTATGATTCTGACCGGGAGCTCCTTTTCTCTCCCCCCACCCAGTTTTATACACCCCCCCCCTTCCTGCTCCCTTGTCGAGACTGACGCTACCGCGGCTGTCGACGCCGCTGTCAAACTCTCTTAATGAAAAGTAACGCATCGCTGATTACAGTTTTATTTGGGCCCGATGTAAAAAGGCGCTGTTAATTTCCCATCTCCTCCTTGGTGGGTTGGAATTTGCCACGGCCGAATGCCTTCCAGAGGCGCTCCCGTTCCAGCGCCGGGTCCCCCACCTCTCCCTTCCGGGGGCGTCTTGCTTCCAGCCCCCCCCCCCCGCCGCCCGAGTCTCTCGCCATCGCCCGCATCCCCTCCGGCTGGACCGGGAACTTTTCTTGGAGAGATAAAAATAAAGCCTATAGCGCGCCTTCCCCGACGGGACGGGCGGTTATTGATCCGGGCGCGCTGAGATTGATTTCCCCAAGCGCGGCTTGGATGCGGCTTGGGGTGGGGGGCGGCTCGGTGGGTCTCCTTGGGCCGCCGGGGGCCGATCCACCGGCAAGTCTCCCCGTGCGAGAGATGGATGGGAAGGGGCGCCCACTCCGCTCCTCAGCAGAGAGAGTCCCTGGCCGTCCGATTTCTCCCACCCGTCGGGGGCCAGATGCCCCTGCGCAACGCCAGTCCTTTCGGCGCGCCTCGAGCAGAAATTCCCGGGTTCCTCGGCTGCCTCATCGCCGGAAACCTGCGAATTCTTGCCAAGGCGTCTTTTTGGGGAGCCAAAAGGCTTGGGCGCCTTTCCTCCGCTTTGGCGAACCGTTCGCTGCCCGAATCTAGGCCGAGCCCTTGAGCAAAGTAATAAATAGGGCTTCCCGGAGGGCAGGGAGGTTCCTGCGCACCTACCTGGGAGGATCCCTGTATTTTCAAATATAGGACATGGCCCATTTGAATGCTGCGGCGCGATCCTACCCGTGTTTACTTCGGGGAAGACGCTGCTGTGCGCCAATGCGCGTTGCTCCCGGGAAACACGTATAGGATCGCGCCGCTGCGCACTTTCATGCCTCTTCCATCTTGAACCAGGCGACTTTTTCTTGCGATCTTATAGAGGCTTATTAGACGCAGGGAGATCTGTGGAAATGGGCTACTTTTGAGTAGACACGGAGAGGATGGTGCTGTTAAAGAAGGGTTTTGATCTCATTCTGAGATTTGGGGCGCTGAGACCTTTCGCCAAGTCTGTGCCATTTTTGTCAGAAACCAAGACTGTACAAAACGAGAGGGCGAGCGAGGGAGTTCTGACGAGCCGGTTCCTTCCAAAATTGTTGACTAAACCTCAGCAAGGTCGGGAATAATTTGGGGGGGGGGGGGATTTGGTCACGAATAGTTGGACAACTCCGCCGCGATGCCCTGGAACGGTTTCGGAGGGTTGGAATATTCAGGTGCTTCGAAGGCTTGGGGAAAAATCTGAAATTTGGTGTGAGCCGCCCAGAAGGCTCCGGCTCGCGGGCGGGATAGAAATGAAATAAAACACAAAAAAAGCAGAAAATTTAATGCGAGCACCCCAACCGCGGAAGAGGACATGACGCTGCTGAGAAATAATGTAAACTCAGACGTGGAATCGCTGCCCACGATCGCTCGGGCAGTTGCAAAGGGACGGAGGAGCCGGGTGCGTGGAGAAGGCGCTGGGGCGCATTCTCCCCTCTGTTTGCGAGAGCCCCCTGTCCCATTTCGGCAGGGGGGCGCCCCAAATCCGCCCGCCAGCGCCGTGGCTTTGTCTGACCGCGGGCTTCTCCTCCGCAGCCCCTCGCCCAGACAGAATTAAAATTCCTTTCCGTCCAGCCTCCGGCTGCAAGCCCGTCTCCCCGGAGGCCCCACTTTTCGCCATTACTGTCAAGTCGCCTTTTTATTTTTGCCCTTTTTATCTATTACAACTAATTCGAGTTCTTTTGCCCTTTTCAGCTTTAAGACGTGGCTTTCCACAGAGTCCCCCCCTGCCCCCTCCCCCACGCCGCGATCTCCGGGTGCGGAGCCTTTTTAGAAATTGAAGAGGGGTTTTTTCTTCCTCTTTTACTGTCAAAATGAAATTTTCACTTCAAATTATCTTGGCTGATGCAACGGGTCCCCCCCCCCCCGCGACTTCCTTCCCACCTCCTTCGCCTGCTCCCTCTTCGCTTTCCCCAGGCCGGGGCCCCTCCTGTCTCAGCCTTTTGACAGCCCCCATCAGCCAAGAGAAGCACTCGTTTCGATAATATCCAAGAGAGCGAAAGTCAATATAATGACGGGGGGGGTGCGTAGGAGGGGGGGCTGCAGTCCAATTACAGCCGCTGCAAAGTGAGAGGGAGAAGGCGGCCGTCCCCTTCCACGCCTCCCGCCAGAGCCATCGCAGCGGCCTCTCCCGTGCGCCTTGCGAAGGGGGCATCCCTAACCCACTTAAGCCTCAGCACGGGAGAAGATTGCCCCCCCCCCCCATTCTGACTTGAAGCCGAGCCAGACCGGCCTTCTCAGAGTAGCGGGGGCGGACTAGGACCAGGGCTAAGGCGCCGCTTGGATCCGCCTTGGAGAGGCTTCGGGGGTGTCCTTTCGGGAGGCCGCCCCCGAAAAACGCGCAGCAGGACTTAGGGCGCACTCCCAGGCCGTGCACTGGGGCTTGCTCAGGCGCAGGAGCTTAAAAGCCTGGCGGGGGGGGGGGGGGGTCCTGTAAGGGACAATCCCCCCACCCCCCAGCGCGGAACAGCGTGTTTTAAGCACATTTGAGGCTCCCCCGTAACAGACGCCTCTCACGCCCTGCACCCGAGCCGCGATTTAATCTCTCGCGCACACCCCTCGGCTGAACTGGAGCAAGGTCAAAGTCAGGTTTTTCTGCGGGGAGCGGGAGGGCAAAAAGTAAAGGTATTTGAGGCTTTTGCTTGTAGGGCCCCATGGAGAGACCTTGCCAGGGCCAGGTGCAAGCGCTCCTGAGAACGTATCCCGTGTGGTCTGAAGGGGGGGGGGCATTTCCCTTCCTTAAATGACATCTGGGCTTTGAGCCCGGCCGCCCACTTGTGGGGCCGGTGTTTTTTGCTTTCTGAAACTGGTGCGCCCTGCCCGCTGGGCCCCAACCCCGGGGGGGGGGGGCGGGTTCTCTCGGGGTGGGAAGAGGGGGCGTCCGCTTGCCCCCGATTGTGAGGGCAGCAGAGCTGAGGCGGTTCTCCCCCAACGCCCTGGAGGGAAGTTGGCGCTCCGGCCCGGCTCGCCGGAGGGATTCAAGAGCCAAAGAAGGGGGGGGGGAGGCGCGCCGGGCCCCCCTCCCTGGCACCCCGCCCGGGCTTTCTCGCGGATCTCGGTCGGGGCGGGGGGGGGGCGCTGCCTCTTTCCCTTGGCCGCGCTTTGCGCTAATGTCAAAACGGTAACGCATCGGTCCTGACGTGCTGAAATATTCATAAGGAACGCAACGATGCGCTCCTCTCCGCGACGGAGAAGCTGCAGGTTAAAACGGCAGTTTAAAGCATCAAATCTTGCATGTGAATCGATTGCTTCCATTGGAGTCGAGGCCCCGTTTTTGAGAAGGGGAAAGTAGCGCGTCCTGGCTTCGCCTTCAAGCCACTCAATTAGCCCTTCGGGGTCCATTCTCACGTTCCGTGGAGATCTAACGAGTTCCCCACCCCGCACCGCCTTTTCTGAATAAGTGGGCAACCCGATTCGCGGAGCCTCCAGCCCGGAACGCTTCCATAGCCTCGATCCGATGCGTTTTTACTCGCAAGGAGGCCCCGCTGCTTCTGCTGAGACTTGCTTCCCATCCTCACAGTACAATCCTGCGCTCAGAAGCCCCATGAGCTCGGGGCGGGGGCGTTATCCTAGCCCAAATGGACATAGGATCGCAGCCTATGTGATAGGATCACAGCCCTCCTCTCTGGATCACAGCACGGTGCCCCCTTTTCCTTGCCTAAGCCAAACAGCTGCTTTACACTGCTTTTAAAATTATATTTATCGGGTTTGTATTTTAAGCGCTACGCAGCTAAAGCGAGGGCTCGCCCTCTTTCATCACAGCAAACAAAACTCAGGAGCTGCGCTTTGGGGAAGGGACCCTCCCTCGCCAGCTCCCATATTTCTCTTTTCTACCTCACCGGAAGATTCTCCTTATAATGAGCTCGGCCTGTGATCTTTGACCCAGCCTACGCGGCGCACTGTTACTCTGCATAATCGGCTCGACCGCGTCCATCCCAGTTGCAAGGATTTGAAAAAGCAAATGCGAAGGTTTTTCTCCACCTCGAGAGACACCCGGATCTTGAGCTAGATTCCCCCAAACGTCCCTTCGTCCTGCCTGGACAAGCTCCGCAAACGCGGCCAGGGTCGAGAGCAAACGGGGGGTGCCCGGATTCATTGCATGGCTGGGGGGAGGGGGGTCGTTTGCTCAAGGGTCCCTCTGCTAATTTACAGCCCTCGGTTCCAACTGCGAGTAGGCAGCGGGGGGAAACGACTCTTTTCAAGGCGTAATGGAAAACGCTTCGCTTTCCTCGCATCCTCTCCTTCCAGCAGCTCATGAAATCTGGCGACTCGATCCGGAGCCTCGTGAAGCCACGAGGTTGGATCTTAAATTCGTTCTGAGGGGCGCTCCGCATCTCTGTCGGTTGCGCCCTTTTGTCTCGTGGCTTGGATGTGCCCCCCCCGCCCGATCCCCTGGGAAGCGTGTCCCGCTGCATTCAAGGCACTGGCTGCAAGCCGAGATTTGCTCCATCCGGTCTTGACTCGGGAATTCCGTCTCTTTCCACGGATCTTTCTCTGAAATAGACCCTGGTCTGCAAACGCTTCGAATCCAGGCGTGCGAACTTCGGCCCACTGCACGTAGGGGATCCAATGGGGCTGTCCAAGAACTTCCCCTACTTCGTGCCCCACAGATGCTCTCCTGCAAAAGCTTCCTTCATAGGCAATGCAAACAGACCACAAATTGGAGGGCACGCTCTCTGAGAGACAGACAATTTATTTGGAGTGAACATACCTTTCCGACATAGCTTATTTGTCAAGTTCAAATTCGGTGTGTTGTGTGCGTGCGCGCAATGGTGTCAACTCGGTGGAAGGTGCATTTTTGTTTCCTTTTCGTGGGTGAGATGCTAACAAGGAAAAGAGGAGGGGAAAGTCTTTTGGGGAACTAAGATTGGCATGCCACAAATTAAAAGGAAAAAAACAAACGAACAGGGAGAATAGGACAGGCCGACTGCTCCCTCTCCCATCCCCGGAGAAGCGGAATTAGCATCTCGCGCCTTGTAAACTTGCCCAAGGTAAACGCTGATATTCGCCTCTAAAGCTAGCGGGACGTGCTATGGACTTAAATATCGGTGAAGGCGTCGATCCCTCAAGCTCGCAGCCCAGTGAAAATCTTCCAAACGGCAGAGAAGTCTCTCTCCTCTCTCTCTCCTTGAGTCAGCACCTCGCAAATCCATGTTTGCTCGCTCCCGAAAAACTTCTCTGGCTTCCAAGGGAAACTCCCCCCCAGCCTTCCCGGTGCTCCTGGTTTGGTCCCCCGCCCCGCCGGGGCGCGCTGGCCCGAGTCTCTCTCGCTCCCCGTCTTGCCTTCCCCCACCCTGGCCCAGGGAGGCGGACGGGGCTCGGTCGTTAGGAGCAGAACATCTTGCCGCCTGCTTTGGGGAACGCCAGGAAGTCCTTGCCGGCGTCCGGGGCGCCCGCCAGGCCCGCCAGCTGCCCCTTGAGCACGGCGGCGCCGCCCCCCAGCGAGCGCCCCAGGGGCCCCGTCTCCAGGAGGGAGCCCTTGGTGGTCGCCCAAGACACTGCGGTGTTGCTCAAGGCCTGGTTCAAAGTACTGTGCCGGAAGAGCGGGTCGTGGAACACGCCGTCCACCCAGTTCCTGAGGTTCGTGACGGGCGAATCCTTGGCGTGCCGCTCGAGGGCGCCCGCGGCCGGCGCGGCCCCGGCGCTGGCGGCGCTCGGCGCCCCCTGCTGGCGTCGCAGCATGCACGACGGGTACTCGGCCTGCCCGAGCGACGTGGCCGTGTGCGCCAGCGACCAGATCCGCGGCTTGCCGCCCGCCTCCAGCAGCTGCGCCGGCGGCTGCGCCTGCGCCTGCGCCGGCGGGTAGCGCGGCTTGGCCTCGCAGCCCCGCTGGCGGGCGCTCAGCAGCTCCGCGGCCTCGCAGGCGGCCGGGCCCGTCGCCGGCTCCTTGAGGCTGCCCTCCAGCGCGCCCGCGCCCAGCGAGGGCTCCTTGCAGGCGTCGTTGGCGCACGGCGCGCCCTCCGCGGCGCCGAAGGGCCGCGCCTTCAGCTCGCCCTCCGAGCCCTCCGACTCCAGCGGGTCGTAGTCGTCCAGGTCGCTCAGGGCCAGCTCCTTGTCCTCCTTGCTCGCCGGCTCTGCGGGGAAGAAGCGGTGGCAGAGGCGAGGCAGGCCAGCTCGAGCCCCGCTGCGCGCTCGGGCTTCGGCGAGCGTGGCCGCCACCCCGGCCCTGGGAGGGCTCCGCCGTGCCCAGCTGGGAGGCGTAGCTCCACTCATCCGGAGGGCCCCAGGTTGGGGCAGGATTGGGTGGGGAGACCCATCACGCGCCCTCAAGAAACCCTCCGAATTCTTCGCTGGGCTCCTTTAAAATGGTGCTTTCTTTGGCACAGCAACTCGGCAAGGGGAGCAGTTAATATTCCCATGTAACAAACAGGGAATGGATAGTGACAGTCACTTGTCCAAGACCATCCCAATCATCCCGATGGAGCCGTATGTATCATGACATTTATGACTGGCCCTTAAAAGCATGCAAGTTTCTAGTCCTCAGGGTTACAGGGCGGCAAGAAAGCAGAAATTCTGCTTTCCGGGATGGGGGAAATATGAGGCTTAGCTGCAAAGAAGGCTGCTTGCATCCCTCTTGATAGTCACCTTCCCCTTTCAGTGCAGTTTGGCATTATTTTCATGATTATTTATTTCGCTGTTGCTGTCAAATGCTTCTTGAATCAGTGATACTTGCAGAGCTGAGCTAGTGCCTTCGTCCAACGGGGCCAAGAGTCAGAAGCCTGGCCTGCACACTCCTCTGCAAGTTCAGACTCCTTATCTGGGGGAACCTTTACCTTCTCTTTCCTATATGTGCATCTTCTGTTTGAAAACAGAGCTCTTTCCGCTGGCATTTCCCCATAGATTCTCCTCCCCCTGGGGCTGACCTCATTTCCCCCCACGCTTCCCAGCCCTTACCCCTCACACACATGGGACCTGAGTCCCAGTGCAGGATGAGTGCAGTTCCCGTGGGCTGTCGTGGCGAGGGAGGGGGCTGAACAGACAACTGGGATCCTGCAAAGGGTCGAGAACGCGGGACAGATACCTTCCAGTTTCTCGTTCTTCAGGCGCTCTCCTTGGACTTCGCCCTCCTCCTCGTCCTCATAAGGTCTCTTTTCATCCGCACACTTGTTCCGAGGGGGCCAGGTCATCTTGTTCTCCTTCTTGAGCCGCCGCCGGGCGTTGGCGAACCAGGTGGAGACCTGCGTGAGGGTCATCTTGGTGATGATGGCCAGCATGATCTTCTCGCCCTTGGTCGGGTACGGGTTCTTGCGGTGCTCCTGCAGCCAGGCCTTCAGCGTGCTGGTAGTCTCTCGAGTAGCATTTTTCCTCCGGGTCCCTGCGTCCATGGTGCCATATCTGTGGCTCACAAGAAGGCGAGAGGGGCAGTCCGTGAACACGTGTCCAGGCCGAAGGGTACCACCAATGACTTGGGGAAGCAAACAAAACCTCCTCACTCTGATTCGCCTAGGATAATTTCATATCCAGTGGAAAGGGAGTCCTACGGAGTATTCGGCCAAGATTTGTCTACCTCTGTCTTTTCAGGCAGACCACATTCACTAAAATCGAATGACTAGAAAGATGAATCGCTTGGAAACACAGTGAAATGCTGTTTGCGTCTATGCGGAAGGAAGCCCTGTTGAGTTCAATGGGCGTTATTTCCAGGTGTGTGTGTGTAGGGGATTATTTATTTGAATTTGTTTATTTGATTTCTATACCACCCATTAACTGAGACGATTATGGCCTTAGAGGGCAATCTGATATGTATTATCTGGAAGCCCCATTGAACTGAATGGGAGTTCAGAGTGGCCATGAATATGTCAAACCCCCAAGCAACCGAAGCCTACTTGGGAGTAAACCCCACTGAACTCAGGACTGCATTGCACCTCTTGGAAATTAGGCTATGGGTCAAATCTTCAGGACTTAGCTCACAAGCCATTTAGTCAGGATAACTTAATGTTTATTGTTGAAATCAGCTTAAATTTTTAAAACCTAATTTGGCCAGTCTAGAAGCTGTTGAATCTAGATGCTGTTGGACCCTGTACATGTTTTCTTGGAAGTAAGACGCAGTGCTTCTCTAGTGTTTACCATCAAGTAAGTATGCTTAAAATTACAGCCTTACAGGGCATTCCTATGTATGTTTACTCAAAAGTAAATCTCACTGTATTTAACGCAGGCATGATGCATCAAATCGCAGCCTGCAAAACGAAGGCAAGTTCACCCTTTGGGAGCGTCAAAATTCAGCTCGTGCAAGATGGATATGCTAGGAAATCAATCCACTCGCACGCTACATCTCCCTGATAGAACACACCTAAGTAACCTCAGGGTGCAATCGTTAATAAAAATTCTTTTATTATTAGTAAATTTCTCACCTACCCTTTGCTTCTGGAGAGGTTTTTTTTAATGCACAAGACATTGGGTTATACCTGAATATTTAATGTACATCATGCAAGGAAAGGTCATCAGCACCCACTGGGCTTAAAAGGTTGAAGTGGTGTAAGCGGGATTCTTGGCGTGTGCTCTTTTTAAAAAACAATCACCGTGCCAAAGATAAAAAGGGTTTGTTTATCGCGATGCAGACGCGGTGGGGACGGGGACAAAATGCTCTCGATTCATGGGGACCGTTTGGAAACGCATCCCTGAGGAAGAGGCAGGAACTATGTCCGTTTGGTTCTCAGCCGAGGAGGACGCATCCAGCGCCGCTCTGCTTGCCTGGGGAGTCCAGCACCACGGACAGGGCTCTGCCTTCCCAGGATGGCCCTCGCATTCACACGTGCCGCTGCTGGCCAGCAAGGGCCGGTTCACCAGCGCATCTCCCTCCTTGCTGGTTCTGCGGAGCTCCCTGCTGCACGTTCGGACAGCAACTTAAGGGTATGGGTATTACATGCTTGAGAGGAAAAGGAGAATCGGAGGGCTGGAAAACTGGCCCTGGGCGGGACAATTATTGCTGGTGGTGACTTTGCGTTCACTGGCTGAGCTGGACACTTGCTTTCCAATGTTTTATCTGCGACAGGCGCAGAAAGAGAAGGCCAAATCCCCGCTCTAGGGATATCAGCATCACCGCTTCATTGCCTGTATCTCCGCCCCTTTTGCCCCCAGTGAGGAGCCCAAGGAAGCCTTCAGAGCTCCGGTTTCTCCTCGCACCAGGAGCACAGAGAGGCAGGCTGGGCCGAGAGTGTGTGCCTGGCCCAGTCAGCTTCATGGCTGAGTGGCGGCTGGAACCCGGATCTCCCAGGTCCCTGCCCGGCACTCAGCTCCGCGCCACACCGGTTCTGTTGTGCAGGAACCCCTGAAGGCGCCACAAGGTCAGCCACGGCTATGGAGTCATTGATTTAGATGGCTTTCCCACAGATTATTGCAATATCTCGCGCCTTTGAGCTGCACGTCAGCCCTAGGTCATAACTGGTCATAGGTTCCACATCAAGCATACGCCCGAGCAAAATGCATTGGCTCTTAGGTGTCTGGATCGGTACAGATGCCCTTCATTCAATCAATTTGCCTTACTTTCAAAGAAAAATAGCTGGGATGTTGAGAACTGGGGTACCGAAAGATTTTAGCCTGCATTTCCTAAATGTCTCAGTGCGGAAGCCCTGTGTGTTTAACACTGCAGTCTAAAACGGGTCACAGAAAAGGGATCTGCATTTCTTGGCAGCTTCTTTGAGACAAATCTAGGCTCAGATGCATCTGCAAGCTCCCCTTCGGTGCAAAAATCACACGAAGGGTTCACCCCAAGTGTAGGAAGCACAACTTGTAACTTTACATGATGGAGGTGAGCACTGGCTCGAAATCAGTTCAACCCCCCGAGGATTTTGTGATTTATTCCATTGGAGTCCCACGGATACAGACCTCCTCTCACTGCCAGACGTGCTTAATTGTTGACTCAGAAGCGAGCCCCACAGAAATCGAGGGGACTTACTTGCAGGAAAAAGGGGATGCAATTGCAGCCTGGCTGTGCAATCCTAAACACACTCGGAAATCCCAATGGGTTTAATGCACCTGGAAAGTAGGTACAGAACTGTGCATTGACCTGTGAGAAAGTGCCATTGAATTTCTGCGTGTACTTGTAGAGGACTCTGCTGCTGATTTGCTACTGAAGTCAGTGGGATTTAAGAACCAGCACACATGCGTTCAAGTGGCTTGGTTACCCATCATGGAATACTAATCTTTAGCGTACAGACGATGCCTCGGCCACTGGGAGAGCTTTTCATTCCCGGCAATCCTTATAATCCCCAGGCTGCAAATGGGATGCTGGGAAACGGAGGTCCTCGCTTGTGGAGCGCTAACAGAGGCAGGATTCGAATCAGGGACTTTGTGCCAATGCGCTGCTTCACCGCTAGGGCGACTAATGGTGCAACCCGTCGCTGGTACAGGGAGTTGCCTTCGGCAGCTATATAAGACATATTTTTTACTTCCGACTGGTCCACTGTCGATCGGATTATGGGGGAATGGACAGATCCAGGTGTGAGCGGGTTGGCGCACAGAGCTGAGTACTACGAAATTATTCCCACCGGTCTGGATTCTTTCATGTTTATTCCTTTGCCGCAGTTGCCAGCTTTTTACCTCCGAAAGGTACTAGGAAACCTCTCCCTCCTATTCACGGTTCTGTCTAACGTGACCTGCAAGTGCTCCATTCATCATAGACAAGATCCGGCCATGATACCCCGTGATTTATTCCTTTCCCCATTACCACGACCCTCTTATAAATGCACAGATCTGCAGAGATCATGTAGCCATCTTTGAAATATTTCCCGATTAGGGGAGGAAAACAGCCAACCTCCCCTTACCCCACCCCGCGCCTCGCCGCGCTGGCCGTGCCGTGCAATTAATTTCTGTTGTTTCTTACCTGTCATATTGGTACTGACTGAGCGTGTGATCGTAGGGATAGTAAGCTGCCGCCTGGGTAATGCCCGCATGCGCGGACCCGCTCCCGTCCTTCGAATCAAAGCTATTCTGGAACATTAAAGCCAAGAACAAGCACGCATCAGCCCTCCCTTCTCACAGGAAGAGAAACGCAATTTCCCTGCCTTTCTACGGACGGCGTAAACCGTCAACGTTGAGCCTCTCCTAGTCCCACCAATTTATTTCAGGGGAGTTAACCATGTGCTTAACTATCTCCCATTAAAGTAAAGGGGGTCACAACGGTGCTTAATTGTGGGCGCAGTGAAAACCTTTCCTATGCGCCTAACTCCAGAACAGGGCTTCAGATGTCGTTGGAGTGCAATTCCCATCAGTCCTAGCCAGCAGCACCCGTTGTAAGGGATGATGAGAGGTGCAGTCCCGGGGAGAAAACTTCTAGCAGGCATGTGCCACAGTCAGAAATCATCATCGTTAGACCAACGCAGATGCGCTTGCTCAGAAGTTAAGTCTAACTCAGTGTGAGCAACCTCATACTTCCGATTCTAGTGCTTTCCTCCCAGGCCCCACACAAGATAGGAATCATTTCCTTTATTCAGTGGGACTGGGGGCGCTTAGGAATAAGCAAGGAGAAAATGTGGCACTGACCACAAAAACACCCTGGTGACCTTGGGAAGTTGAGAAGAAGTGGGCTCAGATTGGCTGTCCAAGGGGCCATCCTAACCCTAAATTTCGTGTTCCTGGAGAACTTGACTGCACCAAATGGGGCTTCAGGTGCTTGCTACTCCAAAGTCTAGGGGGATTTAACGCCCTCCAGGTAGTGGCTGACTTCAGGCAGTTGACTTCTCATCCCTGGGCAAGCCTTTTACGCCGGATTTCATTCCACGTTTGGACCAGCCTTCCCAGAACCTGCTGGTGAGCTCAGCTCCTTCGGGCTTCAGCTCCGGCCACCATGGCCAAGGGTCAGGGCTCCTGGGGGATGCTCTCTGGACGTCTGGGATGGCCACAGGACAGCGAAGCCTGCTTGGAGCAAACCACGGTCCCGCGCCACCCGAGAGCTTGGATCCACAGCCGGGGGTCGCTGCCGGCAGGTGCCACCCCAGAGCGCGGGCAGCCAGTCTGAAGGCTGGGCTGCCCGAGCTGCCCGCAGGCCCCAGGCGCTCCGGAGGGTCTCTCCCTGGCATGTGCGCCTCCTGGACAAAGGCCTCCAGGGAAGCCCCCGCCCCAGGGAAGGGCGGCAGGTGGGCTCCGCGTGCGCCGCCGCTTACCAGGGAGTAGAAGGCGGACGCCTCGGTGCCGTAGGTGACGTAGTTGCTGTAGCCCTGCGTGTTGGCGTAGGGGCTGCTGTAGACGCCCAGGGCGGCCGCGGAGTTGAGCTCATGCCGGGCCGTGGCCAGCAGCCTGCTCTCGTACACGGGGCAATAGACGGGCGTCTGCGCCGAGGCGGCCGCCGCCCCCGAGTCCGTCAGCGTCCGGCCGCTGGTCTCGCAGCAGGTGGTCAAGGAGTTGGTGGTCATCAGGAACTAGGAGGACAGGGCAGCGACGGTGCGGCGCCTGCCGAGCGTCCGGGCCAGCGGGGCGCGTGCGCTCCAGGGTTCGCGCGCCTCTCCAGGTTGCTAATCCAGAACAACGCCCCCCCCGTCCACCTTCCCCCCCCAGGGACCCCTGCACGCGCCCCAGCTGGTGGTTCCTCAACGCCCAGCGAAGATGAGCACGCGTCCCGAGTCCCCACACTGGCCCTCAGGGGCTAAATGGGGCCTGCAGCCACCCCGTCACGACAGCAGGGGGGTAGAATCAACGGTGCAAGCTCTCATGCCTGTGCAGAAGTAAGTCCCGTGGAATTCGATGGGTCTGAACCTCGCATGAGGGGATCGGGGCCGTCACCACTTCGGAAAGGGGGGATCCCACTTGTACGGCCGAAATGGAGGCTAGAGTGGGCAGCGAAAGGGTAACTTATCCGGGGTTAATGACCCGAAATAAGTGCCTCGTACATGATGTCAAACCCAGCTGCTGAAGGTGTGTGGATCGGGCGGGAATTTAAGGACTTGTCAGCATTTAATGCATCCTTTCTGCGTCGGAAGCGCGTTTCCATTCACACGAACCCCTGTGCCCCTCTTACTCGTAGGGACACGAGTTCGGTAGCCGAATTTACTTCTAGATCCGTTTTGCAATTATAGCAGCCTCTTCAGGATGGATGGAGCCCATCCTCCCCCGCGGCACTGCGGCGCTTAGCAGAACGATCTGGAAAGCAGTTGAGCCGGAACCCCGACTGCCAGCCTGTGTAGCCCCGCTCTCAAAGTCTTCCCGGAGGAAAACCTGGATGCCCGCAGCGCCGCTGCGCCCAGGGGGGCCGCTGGAAGCCGGGAGGGCCGGAGGACCCGCGGGAATCGCGGCTGCTTCTGCGCCCAGCAGCGGCCCACCGCCCCCTCGCCTCACCGGGCAGAAGCATCCTTTGGGTGCTGTGCAGACCTGCGTGGGCGCATCCTGCGAAAGGGACCCCCCTCCCCCGAAAAGGACCCCCTGGGACGGGGCCCGCCCCCACAGCGGAGCCTGGGTCTGCGCGCCCTGGAAGCGTTCCCGCTGCGGGAAGGGGGTCCCCTAGCCAGCGGGCTTAGGCCCCAGCTTTCGAGGACCGGGCTGAGCGCCCCCTTCCTTGGCCATAGCTTAGCCTTGCATCCCGGGAAGTTCGGGCCAAGGGTTCCCGTGGGGTCTACTTGCGTGTAAGAGCTGCAGATGTGGAAGGCGGCCCCGGATGTGGGAGGCATGTGGTCGCACCCTCCACGTGGTTTCCTCCCCCAGCGGCCCCCCCCCCCGATTCCTCCCGCTTGGAGGGCTTCTCGGGGGAACAGGGAGGCGCGGGAGAGGGTGGACGCGATCCCGCTCTGGCAGGGCTTACCTGGGGTGCCGATGAGTAGGGGTATCCAAACTGGGGGTAGGACATGGCCACAGGGGTCTCCCAGGCTCCAGGAACAGCAAGGGGAGGCGTTGGATCGGCGAGCTCCGGGGGGCCTCGCTCCGCCGTGTTGTCCCGATGGCGGGGGCAACTGGAGGATCCTCGGGGCTTAGAGGAGCAAACACAAGGCCGCCTTGAGTCCGACTAACCTGACCCAGAAACTTCTTATAGCCCAGGCTGAAGAATCCGCCTCCCCCCGCTCCTGACTCAGGCACCCCACGGTCTTAAAGGAAGGTGAATCTGGCCACCCACGGGCAAAGCGAGGGGGTGGGGAGAGAAGCAGGCGCGCGTGTCCAGTTCAAGGGTTATCCGGCGGTAGAAGCTCCCCAGAACCGCTGCGTGGGGTGCGGGAAAAGGCGACGGGGGGGGGGGAACCAACGTGCGCCCCCCACAGGGCCCAGAGGCGCGCCTTCGCGGCGCCGAAGCGGACGGTTGGAGCCCCAGAAGCGCGCTCCACGTCCTGCCCGCGCGCAGACGTCGGATCTGGGCCTACCCGGAGAGCCTGGATCGCTTGCGCGCGATCCCAGGGGAGCCCGAGGTTTGCCGGCTTCCCTGCGCTTAAGCAGGGCAGCCGCCAAATGACGCGCCCCAAGCGCGCTTCTGGAAAGAAGGAGATTTCTTTGGGTCCAAAGGGACGTCATGACACCGGGCCCTGTTCGAAGATCCCGGCAGCCCCAGGCCTGCCCTGCGCCTCCCCCTGCACAGACGGACTCAGTGAAGGGTGGTCAGCACTTTTAATTGGAAATTAATTAATGAGCAGCTGCCTCGGCGTCTTGCTTCTCGCCCGGTATTCATCAGTTCCACTTACAAACGAGATCGAGGCGGGCCAGGGAAGGTGACGTGGCCCGTGGGAAAGAGGTCCGTGCGGCCCGGGGGAGAGGGGTTTCTTTCCTCTCCCCCCTCCCCCAGGTTCCTAACCCCCAAGCACCCACTGAGAAAGGAGCAGAGGAGGCATTGGAGCATCTGAGCTTGCAGCCAGAATTGGGTGCTCCTAGTTTGGAGTTCTCAGGAGGAGGAGGAGGGTATTTCGAAAGACACCTTTTAAACTTGGAGCGGGAAGGAAGCACATCTTGGAATACACTTATTCCAGGAAGAAGGAAACTACTCCTTTAAGTTCATGCGAAATGCAGCTTTTATCAGTACTCCTAACACCCTCAAGAGCCAAGCAAGCAGGAAGAAGCGTCATACCTGAGCATTGTCTCAGTAATCTCACAACCACCCTGCAAGGTAGGTTAGTAAGGTCATCCCTATTTTGCAGGCACGAGGACGAGAGAATGGTTTGCCCAGGGTCTCTGGCAGAGGCAAGATCAGAGGAAGGGCATTCCTAGTTCCTAGCTTAAGTCATCTTCCCCTAACTTGGTGCCCTTTGGGAGTTCTGAATTATAGTTCCCATCAGCACGAACCAGCAGGGCCAATGGTCAGAGATGATGTAAACCGCAGTGCAAGCCACCCGGAGATGCTCAAATAGCTCTCGAGCATTCTTGCAGTCAGTCCTCCGAATGTCTACTCAGAAGGAAGTCCCGGGGTTCAGTGTATACGTAATGGCAACACATACACACGCGCGCACACACACACACAGTGTGGGTACACGGGACTCTTTGTAGGCCAGAAATACTTCGGGCCACTGGAAAGTTTTCACACCTTTGCACCAAGTGAAGCTGGTCCAATATCCTCAAATTTGTAGCTATGACTTTCTGGAGCCAGAAATAACAGCTGCCCGAATTGTGCATTCAAGCCCGTGTCCTTCTCCCGGTCGCCTTTCTCCAATTCGCCCACTTCTACCCTAAAATCTTGTCAAGCAAAACGTCCGCTGTGCCTGGTCCCCCTGGGTTCTCAGTCCTTCGTCTAGGTCCGCTCCACGAATCCTTTCAGGGCTAAGCCAACCTGGCTATTTTACCACCAGCAGCACAATTCAATGCCTCTATTTCTCTCTCCATCAAATACGACTTTTCTCAAGCTCGGTTCCTTCCTCCCAAGGTCCACAGTGTGATTCTACACGCAAGTACCAAGAAATAAGCCCCACTGACCTCCATGGGCCTTATTCCTGGGCAGTGTGTTTAGCTTATATTATAGCGGGAATTACAACACAGCATTATGTTCTCTCCAAAACAAATTGGGATTGATTTTTAGCCAGAGTGCTGGAGCGGGTGTCAGAGCAGGCAGGCAGATCTTACGCTCTTATTTTGCTTAGCACCTCTAGTCCCTTTTCAAGCCACACGAACAAATCATGAGGAAACGCCCGATGGGTTTTGGGTTTGCAACAGCAGGAAAAAGCAAAAATAGTCATGCTGGTCCACACAAACGCTCCGAAACCTGGAATCAGGTCACACCTTTATTGGCTCGAACACAAATGCACCGAATAGCGACCAAGGCTTAGAGTTCTCCTGAACTTTTCATGGGATAGGATGGATCTTGAACTGGGGGCTGTGGTCAAGCGCAGTGGAGGTGGGGAAAAAGTACAAAAAACCGGGCATTTGAAGGCAGTGCAGGGAAAACTTGTTCATATGCTTTTTCATTACTCTGTGGGTATAGCTCAAGTACATTAAGTTCTGGCAAACTGGTCACCATTCTTAATTCTAGGTATCATCATCATCATCATCATCATCTGTTTACTATAAAACTCTCTGGGCAGTTTACAACAATAACGATGGAATCATACACTCAAGTCTCCCTTCCAGATTCTAACCAGGCGGATCCTGCTTAGCTTCGAAGATGAGCCAAGATCAGGCACTTGAGGCTATGAGGAAGCAGGACACATACACATGATGCATATTAAGAAAGGCATTCTCTTGGAGACTTTCCAAACTCCAGGTCTGAAATTGTCCCGAGCCCTCTCGTTAAGCCTTCTTCATGTACTAGGTAAGATACACAGAAGTGCTTTTTAAAGATTTTGATGTAACACTCAAGCCCTCTTGGTCTCTTTCTCTAATTGTTCACCCCAGGAGAGGGATTCGAATTTCTCTGGCACCAATAGAAAAACCCTTATTAATTTCCAAGTAACTGGAACTTTTGCAGTTCTGTGCTCTCATTAAAAAAAATAAAAAAATAAAAGAAGCCTGGCAGACATGGGTTCAGACTTCATCCCTGAACCTTTAAGCCGGTCCTGGATTTCAAGTCCTCAGGCTGTGAGCCTAAAAGTTACTTATGCGAGGACTTACGCTTACGTGGTTGTGCGCAGGCATTCCGCCATGCTTGGAAGGGGCGAGCGGGATTCATTTCCACAATGAAGGGGTGGGAGGGGGGCCCGGAGATTCCAATAACCGTTGGCCTCTCTGTGCAGTGAGGCTACTGTGGTCTGAGTCCCGAGACACATCGGGCCCCTTTGGTTGCACCTTGCCACCAAGATGCAAAGCCGGCTGCATCCAAAAGGCAAGCGCCGTTCTTATTGGACAGCTTCCTGCTGATATAAATTCCTTCCCTGGAGGCACTTGGTGGAAACAAACAGGCAGTGCAGAACCTGGTAGGGTGGCTGATCTGAATGCAGTGGGATTTGTGTATGCAAGATGTTGTCCCCAGCCCTGGGCAGGCCAGGAGATAGACTCAAAACACGGGCTTACATAGGACTGCGCTGTGAAAACATGACTCGGAGGGTCCCTTAATCCCGAACACAAAAATCTCGTCGAGAAACCTGCTCCTCCAAAGCAAATACTCACAGCTATATTTAACAATCTCAGAGATTTTCCGAGTATCACCGGGATCCGAAGTCCTCATTAGTAAACCCCACTGAGAAGCACTGATATCATTTAGGCTTGGGGTACAAGAAGGGACAGCTACTTAAGAATGCTAAAGCTGCCAACAGTTTTATTGCCCCGTCCTTCCGCCTCACCGAGTCACTTTTGGCCTTTCCTCAGAGCCCAAGGCTCTGCAGTTGTGTGCCATCAAGCGGCCTCTGACTTATGGTGACCGAGGAACGGAAGCCCTCCCGAATGTCCTATCCAGAGCAGCGCTGGGCGGCTCTTGCAAATTCCAGGCTGGGCATTCCTTATGGACTCAGTCCTGCAAAGTCCAGGACGGATTGTTTCCCTCTGGAAGCATCACACGTTGTGTGTAGGTGTGTACTGGGGGTGGGACAGGAAGCGCCCGATCGGTCAAAAGCTGGATAGCCTGGCTAGAGTAATCCAAAGTGGGCACGTTTAGCCAGGCCCTTGGGTGACTTCACAAACTGTGTGCATTTGGGATGGGGAAGGAAACACGGTCCTCTCAGTCCAGGCCTTGGGGGCTGCAAGCGCCGTGCGCACCGGGGCAGGGGCGGGGAAGGGCAGCCCCCCTCCTGAAATCCGGCTCTCTCGGCGAGGGGAAGTTGGAGCAGGCAGACCCCTGGGAGATTCTGCAAGCTGCGAGTGTGTGCGGAGGGGAGGGGAGCAGTGCAGACTTGCTAGAGAGCTGCCTGGGTTCAGACATGTGGATAGCCCCGGGGTCACACTCTAATTAATGATGATGTTCCCGTCTTCTCCCCAGCTGGAAGACTTGGTGCCTCGCAGGGACGAGGCTGCGCGCTCTGACAGCTCGGTTGAGGGTGATGGATGACTATCTGGAGACCGTGTTACACCTAATATAATCATATCTGCTGCGTAATTGCTATAATTTACCGAGGCAAAGGCTCGGGCTCGGGTGGCTCTAGTTCAAGCCAGCCAAGGCGCGCGCGCCCCACCCCCCCGAGCAGGGCTCCCGATCCTCAGGCTGCTTGCTCGGGAGGAAGAGACGCCCAGCCTGCGGGGAGGCGCTTTCCCGAGCCAAGCCTCGCTTCCCGGGCTCGGCCGCTCCGGCCCCGTCCACCGCGTTTAGCAGCAAATGCACGTCACTAAAGCAAGCGCTACAGCGCGCTTCTGTGCGTTACTCAAGAGTAAGCCCCTCCTCGTTCGGCGGAAACGGGTGTGCGGGGGGAGGGAAGCAAACAGCCACTGAGGGGGTCTTCAGAGAGGGAAAGTGTGGGGGCTTAGCCCACCCTCTCCCGGGGGTGAATCGCTTCTTCCTCTGTGCCCTCGGGA